GTACTGGCCACACCTGGAATGCTGACTTGGAGCAGAAGTGACGGCCTTGAACGGATGCGCTTTGCAAAGGCTGAATCTTACGTGGCTGCCCAAGAACTCTCAAGGCATTTTTAAAAAATCTTCTCTTTTTTTCTTTGAAGATTTTGTTATAGGGCACCTACACTCTCCAGAGACAGAGAGAGAGAAAGTGGGAAATCACCCCCAGGGGAGATAGCCATGCTGCAATCCCTTCTCCATCCTCCTCTCAAGCGTTTGGGCATGCACATGTGCCTGGTGTATTTTTCAGGCCGCCGTGTCCGAGACTGGAGCTGTGAAATCACCACACCACTTTCCTTAAAGCAGCATGGGAAGGAGACCGGAAGGCCTGATGAGAGCGTCCTCCGCCGTTCAGCAGCTTGTCACCCAACCCGATGCCAACAGCTCTGTCAAGGCAGAAGTCTGGACTAAAGAGTGTGTCGAATTTGAAGATAGCGAATCAAAGTGTCATTTAAAGGATGTGATTGTGGGGGACTTTACTTAGTAAGGGTAAATGTACAGGGGTTGGAGGGAGGCTCAGCAGTAATGCAACTGGGCCACCTGGCAAGGTCCCCGGTTTGTGGCGGGGTCTCCCTTTGCCTGCTGGTGTCCCTGTGGTCTGAAGGCAGAAGTGGGGTCATGGCATGGAGACCCTGGTGGAGGGATCTCTCTGTCTCTCTCTCCATGGAAGAAATAAACGAAACAAAGCCACAGCAAAGGCACCCTCTAAGTGGCGAAGGGAGCTGGATCTCACCTGGCTGAATTGCACCCGACACACGTGTGTGCATGCCCAACATCTCAACAGGACAGGGAGAGGGAGGAGAAAGGGCTGCGGTGGACCACGCCCCCTCGGAGTGCTTCTCCTTCCCTCTCTGTACACCCACGTGCCCTCTGACTCTCTCCACACACACACACACACACACACACCATACTGAGTTGGAACTGACTGAAAAAGAGATCCAGGAATTGGACCCATACCATGACAGAGACAGACGGCCGCCAAATGGGAGGTGATGGACGGTGGCCCGGACAAGGTGAATCAGCTCCAAGGCTATTTTTAGCAGACTATGACTCAACTCCAACAAGGAGAGATATGAGCCAAAATGTCATTCGGGGACTTTTTAAATCTTGTGCTTGATGAGGAAGACAGAGGCACTTCAAACATCAGCTCATTTTACAGAGAAAAAAGCTCCTGGAAAAGTGAGGAGACAGAACCACCTTCACCAGGATTTGAATCTCCAGAATTTCAGGCATCTGCTGGATAGCCAGAATTGGGAACTGAACAGGAGTAGAAAAGAAAATAAACACCGCGACTGTGGAGAGTAAGTTCAGCAAGTGCCTGAGGGTCGCAGCATGTGTGTGTGGGGGGAGGCCGAACTACATTACGCGGGGTCTTCACGACATTCACGACAAAGGTGCGTTAAGAAGAAACTGTATATGGATTTCGAAATGTATTCACACCAGAATAAGCAGGTACTTCAACTCCGTTTTCCACGTGTGTCCTGAAGTTCCCTCGTACAGTGGCCTTCCTCTGCCGGACTGTGCTGGGCCTATCTTCTATAACTAAATGTTCTACGTACATATACATTAAAAAAAATGTTGTCGGGCAGGGGGCACGCTCACTGCGGGGGGGCCAAGGGAAGCAAGAAAGCTCCCCCTGGGGATAGTCATGCAGCAATCCCTTCTCTCCCTCCTTCGGGGTTTGGGGCTCACACGCACACACCCCTGGTGTGTCTCTCATGCCACTGGGTACAGGACTCGAACTGCGTAGTTAGCCCCGCGGGATCAAATCACTTTAACTATCAGGGCACTAGCTGGCTCTTTTAATGAATTTTTAAAAGTTTATTTATTTCTCCTGAGAGAGAGAGAGAGAGAGAGAGGGGTTCATACGGCAATCCACCCACAGTCTCAAGCAGCCCCATCACGGGTACACATGTGCACACAGTGTGTAGGCGGAGGTCCTGGGCCGTGAACCCAGCATCGCAGAGCCTTGGGTTACTGCTGGGCAGTGGCTGGCCCCCTGTTCCGCCATATCAAGTAACCAGTTTGCTGCTTCTTCCCAGCTGTACCAATGTACGTCTTCTGCACTGTGGAGTTAACTTATAGTGGCATTTTTAGGGTTTGTTCAAATATACTAGGCCAGGGACCAGCAGATGGAGTAATGGCTGCATTGCTGGACTCCCATGTAGTCAACCACAGTTTGAGTTCTGGCCCTGCTGGCTTAAACTCAGGCTGGGCGCGTGTGCGTGCGTGCCCAAGATTCGGAGAGGAGAATGGAGAAGGGATTGTGGCGTGGCCATCCCCCCTGGGGGGTGATTTCTCGCTTTCTGTCTCTCTGTCTCTCTGGTGAGCGCACGCGCCCTATAGCGAAAAAAACCTCTAAAACAAAACTCCTTATATACTAGGCCACTGGGGAAGCCATGATGCATTTTTGCAGAGAAAAATGTCATGACTTTCCCCACCACCTAATACAATTTTTCGGGCTGACAGGTGGTGTGGTGGTTAAAGCTGAACGTGGTTTGAGTCCCAGACCTGACAGCTTGCTTTCTCACTTTCCCACTGTCTCTCACTGGTCAAATTAGAAAATAATAAGAATAAATAAAATGGTATAAAATAATTTTTAAAAAAACATTATTTCTCATAAATACTTTATAATACAAACACACGCAGATACACGAGGGGTGTCTTCCAAAGGTTCATGGAAAATGAATATCATAAAAAAGTTGTGCATGGATTTCAAAATCTTTTGTACCAAAGTAAACTCATACTTTAATTCCATTTTTTCCATGAAGTTTTGAAGTCCCCTCACACACACACACACACACACCCCACATGTACACACACACACACACACATATATATATATATTTAAGGAATCTTTTTGTTTGTCTGTTTGCTATTGGGTGTCTGGAGATAGAAGTGGGGGAGGAGTGAGAAACGGTCATGCTGTAATCCTTTCTCTCCCGTTTCCTCTTGGGATTTTGGGCACTCATGCACCCACATGTTTTCCAAGCCACCAGGTTCAAGACTTAAACCGTGCAGTCGGCCATGTGGGATCCAGCTGCCTTAAACGCCACCCCATTTTCTGGCTCCCAAAATCGTTTTCTTGGCTGCACAACTTTGTTCTTTTTACTTTCCAGGGAAACATTTGGGATGGGGGAGCAGGGGAGCCTGTGAAACACCTAGTTACCTAGATCTGAACAGTTTCATGGTATTAAACTGGAATTCTGGCTAGTTCAAACTCGTACTTAAACTTCACTCCTCTTCTGTCTTAACACTAAGTCCAGGCCGTTTGCTTGAAGTGTATAAAAGGAGGTGACATCCACTAGTTCCCAATCCCGGGTGCCTTCACACGCCAGATGTGGAGCCGGGAACGGAGCGAGTCTGCTGTGAGGAAACCGCTCTGACGGTGGCTGGCTGGTTTGGGTGCCACGTTTTTTTATAAATGCTAGGGCAGGCCCTGTCAGTCAGCCTGGCTTTGTGAGGAAGCGAAATAACCCAAATGACAATTCTTTGAACTTGTTTTACCACGATGGTACTGAATTAAATGCTCAGTAACCAACTTCTTCGCTGGCAAAAGGCCCTATTAATACATATCATGTGCTAGAACATCTGTTTTCTTACCCATTTTGTGAAATTTATTTATTCCCTCCATGAGTGAGAGACTCCCGGTCAGGACAGGGATGCTGTCACCCCTAGCAAGTCTTGACCGTGTGACCCACCCCTAGCCTTCCTCCAGCCTGGGATCATGGGCACACGGGAGCCTGGTGCCCTGTCAGGTCTCGGACTTGAACCGTGAGCCTCCTCCTATAGGGCTGCCTCACAAAGGGCTCATTTCACTGGTGCGCCATCATCCAGCCCCCAGAGCTTCTATTTTAAATGTGAATATCTCTGAATGGTAATATTTCTCTGCACGTAGTCACAGTTCCAAAATTTATTTATTTATTTAAAGAATTATTTTAGTTAACTTTATTTATTTATTTTAATTTGACCAGAGAGGGAGAGAGAGAGGGAGAGAGAGAGAGAGAGAGAGAGAGAGAGAGAGAGGAAGAAAGAGAGAGAGAGCAAGCTGCCAGGTCCGGGACTTACTTGAACCGTGATCAGTCATGTGGGAGTCCAGCACCTTTACCCACCATGCCACCTGCCAGTCCCACGCAGTTTCAAAGGCCCCACACAGTTCCAAAATTTTAAAAAGGACACAATATTTTTATGATCACTTGCGTAGGGTAACCTAGAAAATATTTAAGGCGATTTTGAAAACAAGTTATACTTTATCAGCCTCCAACTGGCAACCATGATATAATAAGGAATTTGAAACAGAAACTGAGCTGGCTATCTGAATGACACTTAGGTACTTACACTTCATCCACTCTTTTAATGTTTCTTAAATGCCAGAGGCAAGTTATTGGAGCTGTCTGTCCCTCAGTTTCCTTACCTGTAAAATGGAGATTAAAGGGCCGGCAGGTGGCGTGGTGATTAAAGCACTGGATCTCCCACGCTGACTCCACATACAGTCTTGGATCTGATAGCTTGAAGATCACGCGGTGGGGGCCAGTGGGTGGTGTGGTGGTTGGGGCACTGGCCTCCCACATGGCCAACCACAGTTCAAGTCTCAGACCAGGCAGCTTGAAAATCATTTTGGGCACATGTGCGTGCCCAAACTCCTGAGCAGGGAAGGGAGGAGAAGGGATTGCATGGCCACCTCCCCAGGGGGAGATTCTTACTTTCCCTCTCGCTTTGTCTCTCTCCAGCGAGGGCACCCACCATATAGCAATCAATCAGTCAATCAATCAATAAACTGAGGTGCAAGTTGCATAGTGAACCAACCACACCTAGGTGTCTGACTGACCGTCTGGGCGCACAGCTCGGTGGCATCTAGCACATTGGCAACGCTGTGTGACCACTGTCTGTCTAGCTCCAAAACACTTGCGTCTCTGCAGGGCTGGTTTTGAGGGTTATGCACGTTAATGTTTGTCACTCTTTAGGACTCTGGTGCATGGCACCATCAGCGCCCAGCGAGTGGCAGGAATCATTAGAAGAGCGAAGCTCATAATAGCTAACGCGGTAGGTGAGGTGGTATTAATCCGCTTCCTTTGGGCTGGAGGAAGAGGGAACGAGGTTCTCTCTCCCTCTGAGCCCCGCTTTCCACTTTGAGCTCTCTGCTCCCACAGGGCTGTCATACCCCTCCCTCACGCAGCCCTTCAAGGTTGGGGCACAGAGGAGGGGCTGACTTAGCCTCCTGCTGGTTCCAGCAGCTCGGGCGTCAATGTCCACTGCGGCCTTGCAAGGATGCCCAGGCGGAGCCTGGCGTTTTCTGCCTGAACCCAGGTGGGAGAAGACATCCCGGGACCCCAAGTTCCCCCACAACTCACCTTTGTGGTTACTGCGGGAGCTGTGGGCTTTCATTTGCTGCCATCTCGTGGCAGAGACTGGAACTTGCGTCCATTTCCGTCCTTGATAATCGTCTCCAGGAGTGCACCGAGCACCTCCTGCCTGCTGGGGCCTGACCGGGACCCCGGGACAGGCGGGCGGATGGACCGGCAGCTCGCAGGCACCGGGAGAGGCCGTCCCCGACACCCCCCACGCACGCAATAACTAAAGAGCCACGCAGGCTAGGAAGGAAACCAACATCAGCTGGTTGCCGCGGGGTGCAATGACATTTGATACTCATCAAGGATGGTGTCTCCTGCCCTCCCACGCCACACCCGCATTTGTGGCAGGGACGTCTGTCTGATACCCTTCCCCCACGTGGATGGGCGAATTCGCCCGGGGCTGGCACGGAGTAGGTGCTTAGTAGGTGGTGGACGGATAAGGACGCGGTCCAGAGCGGCCTCTTGGCTTCCGCAGGCCACGATGGGAAAGTGGGAAGGAAGCTGCTCCCCTGGGGGCCTGGCAGGGCTGGGAGGGTTTGAGCCTGAGCCCGAATGAGGGCGACGAGCAAACGTCACCCCCAGGGAGCCCCAGTCCTTCCCGTTTTAAATCGCAGTCTCCGCTCGCTCTCCGAACCCCTTCCCTGAGTATTGTTTCTTCTGTGGCATTTCTCGCCATCCCACGTACTATCCTTGCCATATTCACTTGATGTCTGTCTCCCCAGAGGATTATAAACTCTCTGAGGGCGAGGATTTGTGTCTGTCGCGTTCACCGCTGGCTCTCCAGAGGGAAGGGCTGACGCGCAGTAACCGTGTGCAGAGTGAATGAACCCGGCGCCAGGCAGGGCCGCGGCCGGGTGCAGGAGCAGAGCTCAAGCCCAGGGATCCGGGTTGGAGGGCGAACCTGATCTGAGCTAGGCAAGGACCAAGAGTAAACTGTACCGGTCGGGGCGCAGGGTCTGGGAAGGGCTAGACTGGGATGGAGCCTTGGCTGGGGTCTTTCTGGGGTCAGGCAGTTCCCGCAGCTGGGGGCCTTAGGGGCGGGGCCTTAGAGCAGGTCCTTCCTGAGGCGTGGCCAATCTGAGAGAAGACTCGGACTGGGGGCGTGGCAAAGCAAGAGACGTGTAGGGCAGGGGAGGGGCTAAGACTGGGGAGGAGTCATGCCGGGGCGGGGCCAGTAGGGGGCGGGACCAGTCAGGGGCAGGGCAATCCTGGGCGGGG